AAAGTCACTTGTTTTCGATATCATGAAGGTCAGCAAGTGATACTGTTGGTGGCAGTTTCCAAAAAGTATAGAATGAAACCCACTCAAAAAACGGGGCTTGCATTCGATGACATGACAACTGATTTTATCTGTTGATTATTCAAAGATGACAGTGGTTAATTTACTCCAGTTGTCGCTAATGTAACTTGCAACACTCACGGGGCGGTCAACCCGATACAATTTATATCCATTCACTTGTACAATTTCACCAGGGATTTCTTCGTGCAGCCATGATTCTTGAAGCATAATAATTCCCAGGTTTTTGTGCTCCTTTTTCTGTGTGATGTCTACTACCTCCTCAACTTTTCCTAACAGAGAACGAACATTGCTTGTTAAAATGAGAGAAATTTGCATTTAATTGGTGCTGCACTGTCTGAGAGCGACTTGCTAACCTGCTCGATGTTTCCTCCTTCTGCCGTTTTGTGCTTGATCATCCGCTTGAACTTATTTCTCACATTGTTGGAATATTTCACAAAAGGCGCAGTTCGTGCGATAACACAAATTTTTCACGAACGTGCTCGTGTAGGATAGCATTTGGTGCCCTTGAAATTGATAATGATGCGATTTGATGACAATACATCCACAAAAGTGTAAATATGAATTTCGAGATAAATGGCGCGGCCGAATTCAAAGGCCCCGCCGGATTAGTATCTGCCTGATGAAAGATATGGTATGGGAGGGCGTATGGTGCAACAGCCATGGCTCTGAAGCAAGTTGAACCACTTAAACGTGCTTTCGGACAGTTCCAAACAGCACTATTCCCACACTTGCTTCTTACGGCCACACACGGAACTCTTGGTTGAACCCCGACAAGAAAGCTACAGACCTTCCGCAATGATTGGCAAGAGAAAACGGTATAGTCTGCTTATAAATAAATACTCCAAAAGATCTTTGGGCTTTACTTATCTCAGTACAGCCGAATTCGGGGGGACCTAATCTTGACATACCAATACTGCATCCGGCCAACCACCCTTGCCGTTCTGTGTTGATTTTATCTCAAATCAGTCATCTCAGAGGACATCCACTGAAGTTAATGACGCACAACAGTTACCTAGATTGCCGGCATCACTTGTTTGCAGTTAGAATGTGCGGTGTATGGAATTCTCTTCCATTCCACGTTGCGTTTGCGCCTACAGTTGAATTACTCAAATCGCAGCTTGAAAAAGCATTGGAACATTTAGCACTTCGACATTTGTGAGTAATTATGCACATTATTATTTTTTATTTGTAAAGTTATCCAACACACTGTAAAAATCGTATGGGGGCATGATAAGCGTTCCCTTCGTTAAATCGCTCATAATAAAACTTTGGACTTTGGATGCCAATGCATCCGGGTGATTTCAAATGTTTTATTCAAAACCTTTCTGATTAGCGTTTCGCTATATCCCCTTGAAAGAGAACTGCACGATAAAATCCTAACCACAATAAGACAAACAATTGTACGGACGGAACGAAGCTGGTAAGTGGGTACTGACAGTAAGCCCAATAACAACCACTTGACACTTGCTGCACGACAGCCTTCCCCAGTTCTGAAAAACTGTTATTGGTTTACCCGGTGCACATGATGTGTACGTTCGTCATTTGTCCTTATGAGTCACCCTGTTTCAGTATCATTGACATCGTCGTAAAACGAAAAACAATGAAGCGAAGTTCATTGATCGCTACCAAGCACAAAATGTGAAAATATAAAAGATGGACACATTAGGCCTAATGGGAGGGAGGCAAAGAAAGTGAACCTCTATGGTCGACACACAAAGTGCACAACCTAACTACGCATACATACCTTTTCAGGCACTCTGACCTGATAGGTGATAAGTGAAAACACGAACGCCACTGCTGTTCGTTAGTTGCCATATCCTTCAGTGTCTCCAACCAACAGCGATTTTGAACCCCAACCTAAAAGACGAGAGACACTTACTCCACCTAATCGCTATGTGCGTTTCTGCATGCCTCGTCTTTACCTCGTCGACCTCCACGTGATTTCCTCTAACCTGGAGCTGCAACTGCAAATGAGGCGCGGTGCAGTAGACGACAGCTGGGCATGTGCAATACATGTCCTAACTGACGAAGTCTACTAGTCCGAATTCGATGAGATTACGAATTCTTTACCGCACCATGTTAGCTCCATCTAGCCAACACTAGACTACGTAAACATAGACACTCACAGACTTCTAGGCGACGAATGACATCCACGCGCAAATTTCGAGTCTTGCGACCGTAAAGCAGAACCGACGGCACAGTGGTACTCATGTAACTTTTCTGCTACATGCCCTGTTATACTAGTACCGAGTATTGGTTTCGTACATTGGTTAGAGCTATATACCAGTACCGGAAATGTTTTGAGTAACTAGTGTCTCGTTATTATAGATATATCGATCGTGTGTTTATAAAATCTATGATTGTATTCATAAATGGAAAGTGATGAAGGTATTGAGAGTGAGTCAATAATAATAATAATAATTCATTAAACGGTTCACGTTTTATGCTCTGCGTGTGGATTGGTTTCAAAGATCAGTCTTCAGAAACGTGTGCCTTCATCTACAGAACAAACTTACTATCTGCTACTGAAAATCCCGAATACGAATCTCAGTGGATGAGAACTTACTTAATATGACCATGAAATGGTCCACTGATCGTTTGCTTTCAAAGAACAACAAAATAATGATGTTACTGAGGTACCAAAAGTTAACAAAGAGGGAACAGTCAAGAGTCCTACTTGATCTCTGATTGCCAAGAACAAGCCCTCGAGAGTTGTGAAGCGGCCACCCAAGGTTCCACCCATAGATTCAACATCTAATTCATGCAGACGAATGGCTGCTGTTTCCGAAACGAGAACATCCCGTGAAAGATCCGTCGGATGGGTCAATTTCAATCGATATAAGCGGCCTTTGGGTGAAATACCACCACCCGATTTCACTTCACTGTCTCTGTGACCGCATACGGAGCAAACAGTAGCCATAATGACAACCTGTTTGAAGTGTGGAATGTCTGGAAAAAAATACACATCGATCGATAAACACAGTCTGTCCTTTGTTTATATACCTACATAAAAGAAAACTTTAATTTTTCTGATAATGCCGAACGAATAAATACCAGTTGCCGAGTTTAATCACTTAGGTGAAATAAACCTACAAAGACCTAATGTTTGATTATGAAATTCAGCAACCTTAGTCTTGGAACTTCATGTGGAAAAACATTTGAAGCCCCAAGAGAAAAGCAAGTTGGCTATCGAAAACTTGACACAACAATCAGAATATTGCCATTTCTAACATGAATGTCTATCTGGTGGTCAGACGTTGAATCAGAGAAGCTAAAACATCCAGCACATGTTGATCAAGCCTCATGAAGCGCAAGAGCGATTTCGTATGAGCGGATTCTCGTATCTCACTTTCGATAACTAACAAAAACGCAATGACCATCAGTTCAAAAGCGAAATCCAATCTAGTCAGTTTGTCTATCGTCATCGTGAAGAGCAAAGAAAAATAAATGCTTAGTGAGGCTAGGGGCAAGCATAAACCTCAGGCTAAAGGATATTCGATGTTTATTCAAAATGCCACAAGAATGTGTGCATCACCAAATCATGGGACAAACGTATCTTATGAATAGGGGGAAAAACCAAGCGTGTATGTGAGGCTTTCTCTTCACAGATCGCTAAATACAGAGTAATAGCCACTAAAATAGCAACGTGTAGCGTAGTCTAGATCTCCATTCATTATGTGAAAATCGTCAGATGAAAGCAGTCACAGCAAACAAATAACCAGACGACATCGAAATGGCACCCTACCGACAAGTTTCATGTTTGTCTCTGATGGTGCATTGCAATTAGAACATTGAACCTTGAATGTCAGAACCTCATCCTTTCCGACACTGTCCTCAGGTGGGTTCTCTGTAGGTTCTTCACATTCCTGAAAGTGAACGGATTTAGCATGAGTAAACATTGATAACGAATGCAAAACTGATGGACAGGCAATCAAACTCACTTACCTGGATAGCATCATCATGTTTCGCATCATCTGCACTTAAACCGAGTGTGGCGTTCTGTTCTGACGTACGTCTATACGTTGCCAGTTTAAGCTGTGGGTCGTTTGCAAGAAACCCTTCGATACAGCCGTTCCCAGATGGATCATCCAAAATCTACGGTTATGAAAAGAACGTTAGTTTCAATACAATAGCCAAAGAAATAGGACGCTCCAAGTGGCAAAAAGTGAACGAAAGCAGGCGGCTATTTAGTTCTGGCAAACAATGCCATGGACGAGGATAGTTCAGCCTGTCAAATCAGTTAAAGTAATAGGGTCGTCCCGTTAAACTGCTCAGAGGAAGGAGAATGGCATACTGACTGAATCAACTTTGGTCTTCAGGGTCGAATATGTACTGTTTGGGTGGATGCATATATTTATGTTTAACGCCGGCCTGAGAGCAAGCATGGTGCCAACGATACAACAATAGTAACAATAACAATAACGGGAGCGGGTTGGGATACAGAGTATGGGAAAAAGACGTAACTATTAGAATGGAAGATTAAGAATAAATGGAATAACAATTATTGTGTGCGTTTTACCGTACACGTTTTGATATATTTTGTGTTGTTTGTCGTTTTTACGGGGCACAGGATTTCGACAGACAGACCGCACAGCATACGCGCCAATGACTCCCATTCTGCTCCACATCTCTCAGCGTCTCTAACCAACGTCAATCCTCATCCCTTGGGCCCCAACCTGGAAGGCGGGCTGCACTGACTGAAGCCAAAGCTGAAGCTAGCTCCTTCATACCTCTACACCATGTCATGGTTTGACCGCCGTGAAGCTTCTTTCAGCCTTGCCCAACACGCACAAAGAGAGCACGACGAGGTAGTCGATGGGCAGGCATACGCAAAACATGACCGAGCCATCGGAGGCGGTGTAGAGCGAGTACTTCTGTTAGGGAACGACTGTCCACACCCAACACACAACGACGGAACTCGTCATTGCTCACCCGATGTTCCCACCCGACACGAGCAAAGCTTCTAAGGCATCGGTGGTCGAATACGGAAAGTCGATTAACCTCCTCCGCTAGGAGAGGCCAGGTCTCGTAACCGTAAAGCAGAACACTACGAACTGCGGCGATGTACATTCTTCCCTTAAGAAGCAGTCGGATTTCACGGCGGCACCACAGGTTGATGAAAGCTTACGATAGCTTTCGCTATTCGTGATGTGATCTCCTCCCCATCACCACCACCAGCTGCGATCAAGTCACTGAGGTACTTAAAGATCTCAACTACTTCTAGCTGGTCACCACAGAGGGTGCGTGTAGGTACAGGCTCCTGCCAGTTTTGAACCAGCACTTTGCACTTAAAAGGTGCGAAGCACATATCATATCTGGATACCTCGATCGACTGAGTGGGTGTGCACTGCTGGTGATTGTTCAAGATAGTTAAGCGGTTATAAAACGTTAGAGGGGAAAACGGACTTATCTACCGAGATGTCAGTAATTAGGTGCCGCCTTCAAGAATTTTGAATGGTAGGATAATGCATGAGGAATAACGTTTGGTTCCCTTCTTGGTTTTGCTCACAACGTATACAGACGGAACGAAGTGAAATGATAATCAAGGTATTTAACATTCGAAATGCAATGCAATGGAAGAGTGGGTCAGTGACTAACACCTTTGGATATTTTGTAAAGTTACTGGCACTATTCTTAGTGGTTAACTGAGCTTGAACAGATGCTAATGATGACGGTTGTGAATTCATTCAAATGATCAAAGCCTCACATAAACGAAGAATGAGCAATACTGAGGGCATCGCTTGCATCATTCTTCACTCCCCTCTTGCTATGGGACTTCAGGAATTCCTAAATGATATTTCGCGAGCAATGTTTTTATGAAACCATTGGAGTTTTCAGACACTAGGCACTGCATACAGCTTTATTGTGTTGTGGTGCTCATTTGTCAAGATTTCATCCATTTTCCACATGACCAAAAACAGCACCACAACAAAATAAGACAGTAAGTGGTGCCAATTAAAAATGGAATTGGTTTATACAAACTGAATAGTCTTAATTATTATAGCCATCCGCTTAAGGTGTAGTTCAGGGGTAATGATTTCGGTTGAATACCCGAGGGTTCGCGCTTTGTCCCAACAGAGTTACAAGAAGTGAGCACCGCTATAGGGTCTTAACAAGGACGAAATACCTGAGCTGTTTATCCACCATAATTCAATTGCATTCCACATATTGACAGAGCCGGTCTATCTTCTGAATGAAAAACAACGCGAAACGGCTATGACATGTATCTTAAATTTATATTCTAGTGGGCACAGATCTCCAGAAAGTGCACTTCAAACGATAACGAGATGAATACTTTGGCAATAACCATCAGGTTAACGTGTGTTCAGGTAAGTTCTACAGCCACTATTGATCAAGTCCAAGAAACAAATTCAGAACTTTCTACATAATGCTAAAGGGCGAAGAAAATAGATTTAATGGAACCCACACCGCAAAAACACATATACACTTCGATCTGAGTGAATTGTATCTGGAGTTGGATAATATTTCACTTTAAGAAAGTCGGATTTTCCAAACTGGGTATATTTCAAAATCTGACAAACAAGAATAGTTTCATAGATTATGAGCTACGGATCTAGCCAACAAAGATTACTGTACACTGCCAACATTAATGAGCTGTGAAAAATACCGCAGTTGATGCTAAGTAATATTGCACAAGGTGATATTTGCCCAATGCTTTGCATTTCGCGTTGTCATGGGAACCAAGCTACACAGACTGACGGAATTCAGTAAGCTGATAACTCATTCCATCGATAATACGCGCAGTCAACTTCTTAACAACAAAAATCCACCTACCCTGAGTAGTTAAGCTGACGAATATCACACGGTTATCCCAACTACGGATGCTAACGTAAAAGCGTAACATGGAGATTATTTTATGCATGATTCAATTCTCGCATACAACTGATTTGTGGAGTATAGTTCATTTTTTACCTTCTTGGGCCAAAATCAAATCAAACTCGATGCCTGAATGTAACTCACCTAGTTTATTCGTTAATTTTTTGACTGTTGGATTCGTGTTGACAACAATAAAAATAATGGGGCCAAGCTCGAGTCCGTCTGAAGTGAACGCGGAACAATTGTTGCCTACACAAAATTAAAAACAGAGCATTCGCAACTTGCTGCAAAAGCGAGACAGGCGATTCATCAATCCTTCAGTGTAGGCTTTTCAATAGAATGGTCTGTTGATTCTAGAAACCAACATTCGCTATCCTCCGAGAAAAGATGATTTTTGAACCTAAACTAATTGGTTTCGTTTTACCTGCTTACCCCAAAACCTACCAGAATTCACGGCTTTCATCATAAGAACGCTATTTATTATAAGGAACGAAACATTTTCATGAGAGAAGTGTACTAAAATATCAACTTTTTGAACTGGGAGCATGACGTAAGGCTACCGGAAACACCTGGATTCTTTTGTGAGGTGATGCTAAGCTACGTCAATGAAAACAGGATGAACAATAAGCACCAATGGACGTTCGTTATTTTTTTAATTTAACTGAGTAGATTCGAAACTGAGACGAATTCAAATACAATTACAATCCTGCAAAAGTTGTTGCATAATCAGGTACCTTATCGTCTATACACAGTTGAGGTCATTCGCGTTCGGAATCTGCCTAGATACCCCTTGTGAGAAAGAAACCACTTTGCTGGATCACGGTTAACATCCTTCTGTGTTTGCGACAGGACTATGGATAAGGCCATTAGCTTACTGAATCTAACCATCAGGTGTAGCTCGGTTACCAACAAACTACAGAAAACAAAGTGGGCCAGTAGCACACCAAGGGAAACGACGATAAAATTTAACTGTACAGCCTTACCATCGTAAAACTTTGCTTCACAGTGAGGAGCTCTCCCACTCGTCCGACAAACTCGTCAAGTTTTGAAGCTAATTCTGGTTCGGATGACTGCGGTCGTAAGATGAGAAAAAAATGGCATCATACCCTTCGTTCAGGTTGTAGACGTTCAATGTTTTCTATTATCTTCAACAAAATACCTTCAACGGTGGACAAATCTAAAGGAGATGAAAGATACCTGATATGAATAAAATAGTTTTGAGCTATTATATCACCAACAACAACATTCAGTGAAATACAGTGAAGCGATCTTCATCGATCGCTACCAAGCCCAAAATGTACACCTAAAGAGGGGGAATGTAAAAGACGGACGCATTAGGCCTAATTCGAGGGACCAAAATCTGCGAAATGAACTACGAGCTACAACATTGTAACTGATAAACCAGGTTAACTTATGCAACGTAATTAAGTGATTTTGTTCTACATATTTAACATGTGACCTACGACATAAAAATAGACCGATGTACTAACACAGGGGAAGATGAATGAGGCGAAGTATTGTAATAAGTCAACAGAGAACAGCATCGAAACAGTTTCAATTTTCAGTTTGTTTAACCGTTAACCATGCACCTTCGAGTGCCGGTTCCGGTTGCTGCCTTTTGGTTGCCCATTTGGACGAAGAAGAAAGAAAGAAAGAAAGAATTGGAGAATTTCAGTAGACTAAGGTTGCAAAGGAATCGAGAAGATGCACGAGCGCCACTGTTTAAGACAATCAGCCATATCACCCGATATCTCTAACCACTGATTGCAATAATCTCGAGATCTCTTGGTAAGGGTTTTCATACCCTCTTGCCAGATCATAGTACCATCACCTTTGGCTTTCCATCCACCACTCCCCTCGGCAAACATTGCGCGCCGTGGCAATCTACTTGGTGGCATACACAACATAGGCCCCAACCAGCGAATACCTAAAACTGTCTGATCTAAGCATTGCTCGTCCGGTTGCCCCATCAAATTCTTGCAATGCTGCGTAGCTAGTTATGTGTTGGAAACAATTTATCTGTATCCTGTTTTAGTTATAGCCAATTTTCTGCAAACTATAGCAGAACTGATGCAATGTACACCGGGCCCTTCACGGACACCCGAATGTCGCGGTGGGGTCAGATATATCCCAAGTTGGCAAATGTCAATTGAGGTTCTTGTATGCGAGCCAACACTTTATCCGTTACAGGTCCACCGGGTGAGATATTTCTACCCAAACCTAATCTCTGACCCTTCTTCCGAATTATAACCTTCCATCAAATAACTTGTTTCCCAATTCCTAGAGCTCGTTGCCAAATAGCACTGTTAGTAGTCTACCAGTAAATAAAATGCGTATTCTGACGCCTTGTCAATCTCTCACTCTGGTGGTCCTCAACATGAAGACTCTGATGCAGTTGGGTCAACGAGCATCTCTTGCGCATACAGTGGACTCCTTGGAAATCGATGTCTGTTGTGCATCAGAGAAACGAATTCAGGATCCTATTAATATAAGCCACCTGAGTGCATTGGACCTATCTTCAAGGCACGTCCTTCGTACGTCAAGATATGATGAAGTTCGCTCTTTGAGTTAGCGGAGTGTAGGAATCATACTAAGCGGTAAAGCTGAGGCCCAACTGATAGATTGGATATTCGTCAACAGTCGTTTGCGAGCAATGGGGCTCCAGGGTTCTGCTGGTTTTTGAAGAGGAAGCAACACCAAAGGGTGCTTGTTCATCATATCGACATATGCAACAATTGATTGCAGTCGCAATTCACACAAGGATGAATTTTACGACAAACTCACTCAGCCCATCCGATTGTATCGTAGCTCTGATGCTATAGTACTGGCAGGCGATTTTAGCACGCATGTTGTAAAACTGAGCGTACCTGAGCCTGTCTAGCGAGGTGCTCTGCTCTTCCCGATCATCGGACAGACAACGGTAATCGACTACTTCAGTTTTGCGCAGACAATCGGCTGTTTGTATCTAGCACCAACTTTCGACACAACTCTCGTCGGACAGTAACATCGCGGTCTAGTTCAACTGGTAAGTTGACCCCAAACTGACGTGATTCAGTACAAAATTGCAGATCCTACTGGATCTCCTGCGTCGAGCCTGATCCCGTACTAGTTCTGATGCGCTTCACGCTTCGACTTATCGATCACCGTCAAAAACAGCTTACGCAGTTAGCGCTGTTGTAACCCAGCAGGACTTTCTCGATACTAGATTCTGAAAGGACAGTCTTTCGGTAACATTTCTCGTGCAGATAGGAACTGCACAGATAGTGAAATACAACATAGCTGGAAGTGTGTGGGAATTCGTTTATTAGGCAACAGTCACGGTTATTTATATGGAAGAGAGAAGACATGGGAATGCATATATCCAACGAGTGGTTGACTGAATTGTCAACCATCTTGATTGGTTCATGGTTCCAACCAGTTATCTGAGTTTAGATAATCTTGTTCTGATTGACTGTACCAGAACAACGCAGTTTTCGGGATGCACAACGACTCCCTGACAAATGCATTATCGTTTGCGCGATCCGTTTGTTTACGCACGTTAAGAGAAGCTTGGACAAGAACTAGGGGCCCCGCCATGTGATGGAGTAGATCAACAGTGGAATCAATTTAGAAGCGTAATGCATTCGGCTGTAAACTTTGTTTGTGGTGCCGAGCCGGAAGTTCGTCGAGCCACTGCGTCTCTCAGGGATCAGTAATCCTGAATGAACAAAAGCGAAAGATCACGATCTGCCAGGGTCAACATAGAAACCGGTGGCATCTGATGGGACAAGTCAATTTACGCTTTATGCTCAGGGAAAGCCTTAAGAAAGAACGCGAAAACTGGTGGGCCAAAATAACCCGTGAAGTGAAAGTAGCTTCTGCATCAGGAGATAATCAAAAACTGTTTCACCTAGTACGCAGCACGGGAGGTCGACGTGTATCGGTCCATGAGACCATTTGAAATAAAGTGGACGCGGTATTCACAATAAAGAACAACAACTTGATCACCGGGCAGAGTATTTTAGTTAACAGTTCAACTGGTCTGGTGCCGATGCGGTTATTCTGGTGGTGTCAACGGAAACTCCATGGGTGGTAACATATGAGCCTCCAACAGAATTAGAAGAACGAAGCTGTTTTCAAACGTTAAAGAAATTGAAGGGGCGGCTTCTCACCACTCTTTTTATGTTGCGTGGTGACTCTCTCATCGAATCGATTACTAGCTTACTACGCAGCATATGGTTGAAGGAGCGTATCCCTTTGTCCTGCGGTGAATCGTTGAACGCTCCTATCTTCAAGAAGGGATCACGCAACAACTGCGTAAACCACCGCGGAATACGTTTAGTTCTGATCATCACAAAAGCGCTAACTTCTGTGGTACTTCGCCGCCTAATACTCACAAAGGAGATGAACATTCGCGGGCAGCAAGCAGGATTCCTAACATGTTGCGGTTGCATCGACCAAATCTTCACTCTACACCAAGTCGTTGAACTGCGTCACAGACATTGTCGACCAATATCGCTTTATTCCTTTGGTTCGCCGCTTCGCAAAGGAATGCAGTAGAACTAAGCTAATTTGCTGAAGTCACTACCTGCATACTTCGGGTAGCGCAATGGCCTACGGTGGGCTAGGCAAATCGTTCGAAACCAGTAGCGATGTTCGTCAAGAGTGCCCTATTTCGCCATCCCTATCCAATTTCGTCAGACGAAATACTGGAGGACGAACTATGTACTCTCTAAAATGTTAGCATTGAATGAGTAGCTGGAGAAAAGCTGTGCGAAATAGAGCATGCGGATGACATTGTTTGTCTGTTCGAATGTATGGAAGGCGCGCAAAGCGCTCTAGACAAACTTTCTTTGCTTCTCTTGAATAAGGCCTAAACCCTACCCATCTTGTACCTTATCAATTACCTTGTGTACATTGAGAGTCTGGCAGCAATCAGTGAAGTTTACTTCTCTGTATCTCGCTGTACGATGAACTTCGCAAATAACAAAACTTTCCACTTGTTCTATTACTTCCTCAGTTACAGTGAGGTTCGGAGATGGACCGAACCAGTCTTGTAGCGGCAATTGAGCTTTGAATGTGCAAAAGGCATACAAAACGTGGCTACACTAGCACTCAATCTATCCAAAAAAGCATGAAACTTACCCAGATCTTCATTTAGCGGTACACTGTCGTCTGCATGCTATAGATCAAACAGTATGCCATTTGGGAGCAAATTGGTTTCACTATTCCAAGCTGTCTAACACTTTGTCTTCCTTATTCAACATTCCCTTTTCCACTTACTCCCACTCGTAGCATTCATTCAGACCTGTTCGTCGCTCGCCGAAGTTCGTTGCCAAGTACTGCGGAGAGTAGTCTACCACAAGATAGATTGCATATTCTGAAGCCTATTCAGTCACTGGATCTAGGGGCCTTCAACGTGAAGAAGCTGATGCGGGTACGTCAACAACTTCGGCTGGCGCGTACAATGGACTATGTGTGATGCTGCTCCAAAGGTCTATCAAGATCCGGAAGAGACGCAACACTAAAAAGCGTTTGTTCACCATTTCAGCGTATGAGCCGACCAACTACAGTTTTTACGCACAAAAAGAGTTTTATGATAAACTCACTAAACACATTCGTTTGAGTCGAAGCTCTGACATAGTTGTTCTCGCAGGTGACTTTAACGTGTAAGTTGGAAAACTGAGCGCATCGGAAGCTTGCCTAGGCGGTCATTGTGCCCTGCCCTGCTAACGAGCAGATAATGGTAATCGACTTCTTCAGTTCTGTGCAGATCATCCTCTGTTCCTATCCAGTACCAACTTCCGAGACATCTCTCAACGGACAGCAACGTGGAGCTCGAATTCAGCTGGTACACTAACTCAGATTGACCATATAGCAGTAAGCTACCGTTGGCGTGGTTCAGTACAAAACTGCAGATCCTATTGGACCACCTGCGTTGAATCTGATCATGCGTTAGTTTTAAAGTGGTTCACTCTCCAACTCACCGATTGCAGAAAACCTAAACAAACTCGATTGGCAGATCATCGTTTATCCGACCCAGCCGTTCATCCCCGTTTGAAATCAGAACCCGGGCAAGATCTAAACGCGCTGCGGGGTGGTAGTATCGGAAGATCGGAAGCGGTAGCCCATCCGAGGCATTGGATATCTAATAAGTCAGTAACACTAATGGAGGAAAAGCGGTAAATCCCGACCGACCGGGATCAAGGCAGGGGAAGGTGGCGTTTGCAACGTCAGCTCTCTAAGAGCCTCAATAAGGACTGTAAAAACTGATGGGCAACAATACCTAGAAGCAGCTGCATCAGGGAATAGTCAAAGACTGTTCCAAATGATACGCAACATGAGAGGTCAGCGAAACAAAGTTAGTGAAACAACCGGCGACAAAAGTACACAAACAGTTCACAATAGGGAACAGCGGCTTGACCGGTGCTTCAATGATCAGTTCAGCTGGCCAGGCGCTAACCAGGCTATCTCTGGTGTAGGTCCAGCTCAGCAATCAGTGGCATCTGAACCTCCCACTGCAGCAGAAGTTCGATCTTGCATCCAGGTCCTGAAGAAAGGAAAAGCAGCATGACCGGACGGGCTACCTGCCACTCTTTTCAAGATGGGGGACGATGACCTCGTAGACTCCATTACTGAAATAATGCGTAGTATCTGGTTACATGAGCACATTCCATCGTCCTGGAGGGTATCGCTGATTGTTCCAATTTTTAACAGGAGCTCTCGCAACGAATGCGCAAACCACCGTGGAATAAGTTCGATCCCAACCATCAAGTTATTAGTTTCCGTCACACTTCGACGTCTGACACCGTTTAGGGAGACAAATATCCGCGAACAACAAACAGGAATTCGACCAGGTCGCGGTTGTACCGATCGAATCTTCACTATGAGTCAAGTCCTCGAGCTATGCCAAACACACCGTCGATCAGAGGTTGTGGTGTTCCTTGACCTAAAAGGAGCCTTCGACTCAGTTGACCGTAAATCCCTTATGGGTTCGGTACTTCGCAAAGGTGTGTAAACCTATTGAGGTCACTCCACCCACACTTCTGGTAGCGTAAGGGTTTATGTCGAGCTGAGTAGGTCGTTAGCATTGAATGAGTAGCTGGAGAAAAGCTGTGCGAAATAGAGTATGCGGATGACATTGTTTGTCTGTTCGAACGTATGGAGGACGCGCAAAGCGCACTTGACAGACTGGCATGTTGGGTTGCTCTGTTCGGCATACGCTTTGCACCTTCAAAGAGCAAAGTGATACTGCAAGACGGGGTGTCATTGAGTCCCATTCTGAAACTAGACGGTTAGGAATTAGCTGAAGTTGACTGGTTCTCGTACTTGGGTAGTTGCGTGACCAACGACGGTAGCGCATTACTGGGGAAAAACGCACGCATTTCTTAAGCTCAAGAAGAGTACGCAGGACTTTAACACATGTGGCGACGACGTAACGCTTCACAGTAGTTGAAAAGTCGCGCATACTGCACCACTGTACGAATAGATCTGTTTCACAGTGGTGAGACCTTGAATTTGAGAGAAGAAGACATCCATCGTTTAGCAGTTTTCGATAATCGATGCTTACGTAGTCCGGCACAGGTGGGATGGAGTGAGCGGGTTAGTAACTTAGAAGTAAGTCGTCAGGTGTTCGGGAATGCATCGAACAAGAACTCGCTAGCGCATCGAATTCAACTCAAAAGGCTCTGTTGGTTAGGACACATTTTGCGTATGTCCAGCGGTCGGTTACCGCGGCGTGCCTTATTTACAGTGGCTGTTGCAGACTGGAGAAAGCCACTTGGAGGCCAGCAGATGACGTGGAGACGAGGCATGAAGAAATGCACATAGCCATTAGGTGGAGTAGATGTCTCTCGTCCTCTAGGTTGGGGTCCGAAAGATTCCACAACTGGTTGGTTGGAAACATTGAAGGATATGGTAGCGAATCGACAGCTGTGATCTTTCTTGTTGTCGTTTCTTATCAGGCCAGAACGCTTGAAACCGTATATATGCAGAGTTCGATTGTGCACTCTGTGTTGACCATAAAGTTCACCTTCTTCTCCCTCCCTCAAATTGGGTCCAATCCCTGACCACCTTAGATTTTCCCACTAACCTTGTATGCATTGCGAGTTTGGCAGCGATCAGTGGAATTCACCTCATTGTATTTCGCTGTACGATGATGTTGCCACAAACAAATCTATAACAAAGTTAAATTAGAAAAGGAGATGGAGGGCAACCCTAACGAAGACCGTTTCCTGGGGTGAACTCGGACGAAAAAGTATCATAAGCTCGGACCCGCCTTCAAGTACTAACACAAAAGGATCGTAATATTGAGAAAAAAACTTCTCGAATATACCTTTCAGGGTAAGGTGGCGCCACAGTTTAGAGCCGTCGACTGAGTTCAAAGCCGCGTCTAACAGGTTCACCAGGGAAGCAGTTTTGGGATCTGCCCTAACCCGACCTGAGGTATGGCGATACAACACTTTGAGGATCGACACATACCTCTCTGGTACTCAATTCATCAACAATCACCTCTATAGTGTGGTCCTATCAACAGAATCAAAGGCCGCGCGAATGTCTAACACAATGATCGTTGGTCTACGGTAAGCATGACGATGCTCACGCAACTGTCGGAGGGTGAAGATTTAATCGATACAGCCACGACCGGCACGAAACCCAGCCTGCTCCTCACGGGTATGTTCCTCGCACGTTTTGTACAATCTATGAAGAATGACGGACGCTAACAGCTTTGATGCTGTTGGGATCAGGCTTTTGCCCCTATGCTTGGCGCAATCGTTGCGCGGACCCTTTTTAAAGATGGGGACGACAAGTGACTCCCCCCACAAGGAGGGGAGCTGCTCAATGTTCCAAACTTTAGAGAACAGGACGTGGAGATCTCTGACAAGCTTATTCCACCGTCTTTAAATAGAGCTGGGGGAAGGCCATCGGTGCCCGGCGCTGTGACGTCCCAAGGCTTGGATCTCCTTAAGGATTTCCGCCTCAGAAGGTGAATCTGTTGAAACAGACCATGGGACGTGTGCCGGAATAGCTGTGTAAGAAGCTGGCGCGGGTGGCCAGCTAAATTGTGCTTTGAAGTGCTCCGCCCAGCGTTCAAGACGTCGCTGTTGATTGTGAATAAGCGAGCCGTCAGCTTTATAGATCGTCTCGCTCACACCCAAGACTTCCTACCGGTGACTCGGATGAGACGGAGCAGCTTACGGGAATTTCCCATGGCGGCAGCACGTTCCATTTCTGATGCGCGTTGAGACACCAGATCTCGCGATTCCTGCGTAGACTTACGTTAAGTTCACGTCTCATTACAAGCCGTGTTACGTTATGCTTGCTGCCGGTCGGAAGTGACTGACGTGCGTCAAGAAGGTGCAGAGACTCAGCGGAAATCCAGGGCGTTACGACACGGCGTGTCAGACCACAACTAGCTAAGCCAGCAGAATGCACAGCATTCTTGATAGGCGACCAGTGCTCACTGACGTTATCAGGTGGGGTTGGTTCTAGCTTTTCAGCTAGCACGTTTTGAAAGACGGCTAAGCACGCTGGTTGAGAAAACTTATCGCAGTTTAACCGCCGGTGTCGTACTTTTAGGACGCCCGCCGAAGCACATGGACAGCTTGGTGCAAACTAACGCATGATCGGATTCGAAGGTAGTACTTCAATACGATCGGCAGTCTTGAATGCAACCCCGCCATTTGTAGCTTATAGCAATGTGGTCGATCTGCGTCCGTATCTGACTCGAGAAGGGCGGACGCCAAGTGGCGTAACCGCAGTTAGAGCGTCTGAAGTTCGTACTGGCGAGGAACAGGCGGTGGTCAGAACATGGAGCCAACAGCCGTTCCCTGTTTTTCGAGCGACAGAAATCTAGTCTGAAAGGACCACCCAGATGCGCCTCATTCGAAGTCAGTCGGCCTACTCCAGCATTCATATCTCCTGCTAAAATCACGATATCAGCCTGATTTGCCTTACGCAAGAGGTCGTGTAGCTTTTGGTAGAAAGTATCTTTGACTGTATCTGCGCTACAGTTCGTAGGTGCGTACGCTGAGACGAAAAACAAGTTGCGTCTTTCGGAGCGACGACTATTTACTTTACACGAGCCTCTAAGTTTCACTGCGCACAACCTACTGTCGACTGGGATCCAATCCAAGAGCGCGGTTTCAGCTCCCTCA